CCAGATGAGAAAAAAAAAAAATCCTTATTTTCGAGGATTGAGATCTTGTAAGTTCGAACAAGGCACAAGGTTTGGACGAGCAAAACAAAGCAGCGCAGGGGTCTTAGCAGTCCTGAGATTTTTTTTTTTTGGGGGGGGGGAGTGGGGGGTCTGGCTAAGAACTTTTAGTGAGAGAGTTAGTCGGAGCAAGTCTGACTTAATCCCATTAAACCTAATCCTTCAGCCTAATAAACATGGGACTACAATAATAGCTAATCCAGTCTAATCCAACAAGAGTTAGTGAGCCAAACAAATGCACCCTTAATATTTGGAATTCTAACGTTTGAGGTCATATCAGGGATGCATTTGATCATGAAAAGGATTCAATTTTTTAGTTCTAAATGCTTTTAAGATATATATATATATATATATATGTGTGTGTGTGTGTGTGTGTGTGTGTGTGTGTGTGTGTGTTACATTTTTCTATCTAGATTTTTGGAAGTTTAGTCAAATGAAACTTTAGGTTAGACCCGTCTTTCTGCTTACCTCTATGTTATGAGCACAGGTGTTCTACTTTTAGGATAGGGTGAGTATCTAATAGGATATGGCTCTCTTAAGGTGAGATACGTACGTATCCGATATGAAAGTTGAAGTACCAGTTGAATTCTTCTTTTTGTTGAATGTCAGTTTGGATATGACTGGGAAATGTGATACGTACAGTGAAAGACATAACTGGGGAATTTTAGAATTTCTTATATGGGTATGCTTTAAATTTAAAAACGTTTAAAGTTCAATTTTGAAATAATGCTTTTGTACCCACCTGCTCTCCTGGTTTGACAAAAAGAGTGAAGGGTCATGTGGTTTTTCAGCTCTACCGATTAAAAGTAAAATTAATTGAATGTAGGCCTATTTTTTCTATTTTTGTATATCATGTCCTTATTGATGGGTATGAAAAAGTATGATAAGGATTAGTATAAATAGGCCAAACAGGAATTCCAACATATTTCACTATTCTTGTGTGACAATTTTTACAGCAGTTGTTCTTATCAGGCTGCGTTGGCAGCGAAGTCTAGCACTGTGCAAGAGCTTAAGCAAGCATCTTCGGTTCCTATAATCCAGGTTGGTACATAAGTATGAGGAATATGAGAGTGCCAGAGGAGATATGCCATCCTCCACTAGTCGGAAGTGATAGTTTTGCTTGCAGGAACAAAAATCAGCTGAGAAGAAGAATCCACCTCCTCGTTGACTAGGTATGATCATTAAGGTGCAGCCACAAGCAAAGAAAGCTAAAATCCATCAGGGAGGTAGTGAAGAACGTACAAACACAACGAAAACCCCACATGTAGATACACAAAATACTTTAGAGGTAATGAAGACGCTTGATGGTGGTATTGATAAGTCCAGTGTTGTTTTCAAGACAGGTCTTCTTTCCTGTAGCGACGACAGTGAAGATGACTAGTAGCTTTGTCTAGGAGAAGTTAATGTTGATTAAGTTTTTTTTTCCTTTTAATCTCTTTTGATCTCTAATAGACTCAGTAGAAAAAGCATGGTTTAGGGTAATCAGTTTCATAACAAATTTATAAGTTTGTATTGCGGCATAGGAGAAATAGAAATTATAAAAGTTTGGATAGGACATGATCCCGGACATGGTCTATAAAAATCCTCAAAACACGGTCTTCTATTGCATTTGGAGTCCTCAATGTATATATCAGAGTTTTATTCTCTTGGTCTACTGGGGACTGAGGAAGGTTCACCTATTTTTGGATTGATATGTCCACATAAGTTATAACAGTAAAAAAAATTCACACTAATTTTCTCCAACTGAAATATCAATTCCTATGTGACGATGATATGAATTGGCAATAAGGTTGCTGTCAAATTTGACAACAGCTTCAAAATTAATTATTAATTGTTTTTATTAATTTTTTATGGATTTAATCATTATTATAATGAATGTTGGTGTTGACCAATGCATTCATGTCTCTTTGGTGCATTTGATGAACGGTCCGATTTAACAAGTATTAAATGTCTTTAATTAATTTTTTTTTATTGGTTTAATAATTTATTTTGTAATATAATAAAATAATAATTAAATTTGACATATAGGGTAGAAAGTAAAACTTAAAAAAAAAAATGTCAAAATGCCAGTAGGCTGTCAAACTTAAATTTTATGTTCAAAACCTCCATTGGAGATGTTCTAAACTCAACCCTTGATATCAAATCTAAAGGTAAATGACCATGCATCTCTTGATCACGTTATGACTTGAACAATATTGTTTTATAATATCATCTGTGATGCGGCATGATCAGCTATCTAGTTCAATGCTTTATAAGTGAAATAATTGCAGGGCCAGCACTTATTACGGAGGGGAGGGGTCTTGTGAGATGATTTCCTTGGACCCAATAATATTTTAGTTTGGAGATGGCTCCCATTACATTTAACCCTATGCTACCTTTGGGCGGAAAAGAGAAAAAAGAATGCCACCTAAAGGAATCTGAGGGAAAAAAAAATTTGATGTTTGCTACCTTTGGGCGGAAAAGAGAAAAAAGAAGGGCGGAAAAGAGAAAAAGGAATGCCACCTAAAGGAATCTGAGGGAAAAAAAATTTGATGTTTGCTACCTTTGGGCGGAAAAGAGAAAAAAGAAGGGCGGAAAAGAGAAAAAGGAATGCCACCTAAAGGAATCTGAGGGAAAAAAAATTTGATGTTTGCTACCTTCGGGCGGAAAAGAGAAAAAAGAAGGGCGGAAAAGAGAAAAAGGAATGCCACCTAAAGGAATCTGAGGGAAAAAAAATTTGATGTTTGCTACCCTTGGGCGGAAAAGAGAAAAAAGAATGCCACCTAAAGGAATCTGAGGGAAAAAAAATTTGATGTTTGCTTAAACCTCAAATAGAGTCCCTCCATTCAAGTGAAATTATGGTGAAATTGCGTGATGGTTTTTTAAGCTTAAAATGTATGGATTGCTTGGATAACAGTATGGATTATACTTTTTACTGTTGCGTAAATAATTTTTTTCAAAGTAGAATTGATAGTCTTACCTTACCATAAGGTTGAATTAATTAGCTATTTATCCATAGAAAATGATATGATATAAAAGTTTAATTATGTTGCTTAAATATTACCGTTGCTGCTAAAAATGCAAGAAGAGCATAGAGATTCTTGGATATTTGTGCTGGTCTATGGTAACCCATTTAAACATGGTGGCGCGGGTGCTCCTCCGGAATTTAGGATCCCTAGCAAATGGCTATGAGAGATTGTAGGGAAGTGACAAGCGTCGGACTAAACTATGGAAGCTTTCTTCTATTCGGGAATGTTCGCAATATGATTCTTTCCGTTTTGGGAGTCTCTGTCAAAGTTTGTGGAGAAATCTTGTAATCAAGATGTAGTTTATTTGGACAAACGTTCGCTTGATGAAGAATGACTTGTATTACGATATTAAAACAAGAATGCTATTTTTCTCTACTGCGTTACAAGGATAGGTGTAGATATGTTTCTTCTTTCGGGTCATATTTGGTAGAAGGGTTTCTGTCTGTTTTGATCTTTGAAAAAAGGATTGATCATACATATGCTTTAGTTAAACTTTGTGTTCCTGTGCCCCTTTGTTCAGTATATACATACATACGCCTTTGGCAAGGACTGGATGCTATTGTTGCAATTTGTGCTGATTTTAAAAGTATATTTTATTCATAGTACCACTCCAAAGTTAAAAGTCATCTTGTACTATCTCCTATTTTCAACATAAGAGGATTCTGAGAAGCGCATGAAGACTATTTTGAAGCGTAAATCTAACTTAGTTTTTAAAATGTATTGGTGCAATTAAACAATGGGTTGATTATGTGACCAAGAATCTTGCCAAGACATGTATATGGGTGGGTTGTGATTTGGGACCCACCTTTTTGACGCATATTTTGATAAATATTTTTTAAAGCTCATTTCGTAATGTATTTTAATAATTTAAATTGTTTATATTTTAGTACAATTAGTAAAAACCAATTTTAATATTTGTCCGCATCATCATTTAATTCTAGTAACTTGATCACTTAAGTTGGTAAAATCATTACTTAACAGTCAGTGACTTAAGTGATGTTTAATTAATGAATTAGACCTCATAAGACTTTACAAACTTATGTAACCCTTGTTATATAATTAGGTGCAAGTGCTATAAATAAAATTAATTATCTCAATGCGAACGAAGTCAAGATTTGAAAGGGTAATTAATGGACATTTGATATTGTAACAAATTTATAAATTACAATATAATATTGTAATATTTAAACATAAAATGAGAAATTGTGATACAACCCTAATTATGATAGTTTTGTATAATTTATCCATATATTATATATATAAGAAATAATAAAAATTTGTCAAGATCATCCTCACACGGTCTCACCGAAACTTACTGGGGTGCGTAATTGTCTAATCATGACGACCAGGACACATGAGTGAATTAATTAATTAGTAACAATCATTGTTTGAAGTCGTCACGGGTGACGAAGCCCCATTTTTATATTGACCACGGATTGCATACAAGTTTCACGAGTTGAATTGCCAAACTGTTTGACCTAGACAAGCAGATTAGCTGATTAAGTAGTGTAAAACTTGGATCCTTACGAAAATAGTAACATACATTGCATCATTGCATAAAGAAATACTCAATTACGTAAGTGGGCAGGATATTTACAAAACTTCACTTGCATATTTATTATTTTAGGACAAAAAAAAAAACAATTTTTTTTATGCAGCTATTATAATGCAATAATATGAACATCCATCACAATTTTAATAAAATTACAAAATTAAATACAAAAGTAAGGCTACTATTTAGCTCAATTGAGCATTGACAACAAAGTTTGCTTCTCGGTACATATGTTGAATTCGTCAAACTAACTTGAAATTCCTCTCAAAATATATTGTGAGAATTTGAGATGAAAAAACACACTTAGAATTGAAATAATGTAAAAAAATTATGGTATTACTTTCTTTTCAGACAAGCTCACCAACAAAATGAAAGCCATCTTCTACGAGCTAAAAGTACTTTCTTATTCATCGACTAACATTGACTACTACATGACGGATTGGAACCACAAAAAAAATGAAATAAAAACAAGAAGGCAGAAGGGAAAGAACGAGAAATAAATACAACCATTACGCATTTCTGTACTATTTGCCCATTCGGATAGGTGGCGTGGCAATGCCATTTTTCTCTTTAGTGTTTGGTGAGAAAAAAGTACAAGAAAGAAGAAGAAAAGTGTACAAGAAAGCAGCTCATTCAGTTGAAGCGCTCATGTGCAGAGCAACCAAGGATGCATAAAATCCATCAGTAATATTGATCAGCTTATCATGCTTTCCTTTTTCTACGATCACTCCGTTTTTAACCACCGCGATCACATCAGCATTCTTGATTGTCGATAGTCGATGAGCAACCACTACTGTTGTCCGGTTTACCATCACCCTGTCTAATGCATCTTGAACCACTCTCTCAGATTCAGCATCAAGTGCACTTGTAGCTTCGTCCAACAGTAATATCTTGGGGCTCTTGATTATTGCACGTGCAATGGCTACGCGTTGCTTCTGCCCCCCAGATAATTGTATTCCTCGTTCTCCTACTACCGTGTCATACCCCTGCACAACGCATTCGGATTAGTTTTGAAACAATCTTGTTATAAACTACCCAAAAAAAATAATAACTTATTAAATGTTCTAACCTGATTCAAGCTACTAATGAATTTGTGTGCATTGGCCAACTCCGACGCAGCTATGATTTCTGCCTCAGTTGCATCACCATCCTTTCCATATGCAATGTTGGCACGGATTGTGTCGTTAAATAAGACAGGTTCTTGCCCCACAAGCCCCATCTGCTGCCTCAACCATTTCAAGTTGAACTTTCCAAGTTCAGTTCCATCAAGTGTGATATGACCTGAATCAGGATCATAAAATCGTTGCAACAACGCAACAACTGTCGATTTTCCACTCCCACTTTCTCCAACCAGGGCAACTGTCTGCAAACGATATTCACAAATAAAAGAAAACACTGTAATATGGCTTAAGCTTCATCAACATGTCATGAAATGAAAACAAAATAAACGAAGAATTGCAATCCAACTCAATTGACGCAATCTTTACCTTGCCACAGTGAATGGTTAAATTGAGGTCTCGGAAAATCTGTGTATCTGGCCTGGATGGATATTTAAAGCTTACATGGTGAAGCTCAATCTCTCCCTTTACATTATCCATTTTCATGCCAGACTCGTCACTAGGGTCTATCTTAGACTTCCTGTCTATAATTGCAAATATAGAAGCAGCAGCACTCCTGGCTTTACTAGAATCAGGACCAAAGCTGCTCGACTGAGATATTCCCGTGGCTGCCATGGTCAAAGCAAAGAAAACCTGCAATCAAATACAAATCTTAAAATCAGCCGTATACTTGGTCTGAATGTATATCATGTATGTTTTCAACACTTTCTGAATAGAACTGGTAGATAAATATGGAGAGAATAGTTACTTGGAAAACGTCGCTAAATGTTGCTTTGCCAGCCTTGACGAGTCTAGCTCCCGCATAGAAGCTGGTTGCATACACACAAAATAGAAAGAAGGAAGACATTCCAAATCCTATTCCACTGATCAAGCCTTGTCTTTTCCCTGCAGCTGTTGGGCCTTCACATTTCCTTCTGTACAGTTCCATTACCTTCTCTTCAGCACAGAAAGAAGCAACTGTTCGTATGCTCCCAACTGCGTCATTAGCAACTTGGCTTGCTTCTTCATACATCATCTGCAGAGGTATAATTATACAACTTCGTAAGACATCAGAACAAAAGAATTTGGATACGAAATATGCTATTAGTTCATGGATCTTCTGATCATACCTTTGCGTCGGCACTGAATCCTTTCATGAACTTTGCTTGAACATATCCGTTGACTCCGATCAGAGGAATCAATGCGAGGATAATAAATGCCAGCTGCCAGCATGTAATGAAAGCAATGACCAAACCTGCAATTGCGGTCGCAATGCTATTAACAATCTGAGCTAGCGCATCTCCAACAAGGGCCCGCACTGTTGCTGCATCTGCTGAGAGCCTCGCACCAACTGAACCACTTGAGTTCTCAGGCTCATCAAACCACCCAACTTCCATGTGAACCACTCTCTCAAAACACATCAATCTGATACGTTCAATTAACTTACTACCAGCAACCGAAAAGAAGTATCCTCGTGCTGGGATCACCAGAAATGATGACACACCAAGTACCATAAAAATAATTGCCCAAAACTCTGAATCTTTCTTTTGTTGAGGAAATGGTTCATACAAAGTCTTTATTACCCTGGACATAAGCACACCGAAAATTGGAAGTATAACACCATTGGCGGTTGCAGCTAAAGTTCCAAGAAGAAGTGCTGGAATCTCGGGCTTGTTGAGGGCAGCGAGGCGGAGGAGAGAGACCTTTGGAGGTTGCCCTGATGCCAGGGCAGCGGCCTCTGGTTCTGCCAATGTAGTGCCATGCATGCTAGCATGTCCTGTGGGTAAACCAAAGGCAGCTGAAAATGAATGGCGGCTGCTATTTCCTACAGAGGAATTCCGACTTATGGATCTTCGTAACGACATTCTTAGACTTGATTGTCTAAAAGATTCAGCAGTTATATCAGATTTGTTTTGAACTTCTCCTGTTTGATCTGAACCCTTGTTTACTTCTTGCAAGCGTATAAGTTGAGAGTATGCTCCTTCAGGATACTTGAGTAATTCTGGGTGCGAGCCTGATCAATGGACAAAAATATGTTTAATTGATATGTCTTCCTATACACGTGACAAACTGGCGGGAACTTGGGATCTAATAATAAATTGCAGCCACGAGTAAAACGAAATTCTATCCAGAAGTACAAACACTCCGCCTGGACTCTGGAGATTATAAGAGATTTCGGTGGGAAAAGCAACGTTTTATAGCAGAAGAAAGCAAGTCAAAATCAGGGTTTATTGTGTAGATTTCTTGAAAGCAGTGCATAGATATGACCGCCAAATACACTTGACAAACAGCATAAACTGGATACAACATATCCAACCAAGGGAAACATATGCAAGAACTAATAAATAGAACATGCTAACTTTATCAGGTAGAATACCTTTTTCAACCATCTTTCCTTTATGAATGACAGCAATCACATTTGCATTCCTCACCGTGCTCAAACGATGAGCAACAATAACAGTAGTTCTGTTGACCATAATCCGATCCAATGCTTCTTGAACTATCCTCTCAGATTCTGCATCAAGTGCACTTGTAGCTTCATCCAAAAGTAAAATTCGTGGATCTTTCAAAATTGCTCTTGCTATAGCAATTCTCTGCTTCTGCCCACCAGATAGCTGAGTTCCATGCTCACCGACCATGGTGTTAGTGCCCTGAACACGAATAATTAAAGGCCAAATGAACTAATAATATTCTTATGATCACACACATAATTATAAACTGCAATTAGATAGAATTAGTTGGAACCTGAGGCAATTTATCGATAAATTTGGAGGCGTTTGCAAGTTCAGCTGCTGCTTTTATCTCTTCAATGGTAGCACCATCCTTTCCATAGGCAATATTGTCCATAATGCTGGATGCGAACAGTACGGGTTCCTGGCTGACAAGACCAATTTTACTCCGAATCCATTTCACCTGAAATTCCTTTAGGTTTATGCCATCTATCAACACTTCACCAGCTCGTGGATCATAAAATCTCTCTATCAGACTGATGATTGTTGACTTCCCACTTCCACTTTGTCCTACCAAAGCTGCAGTGGTGCCACTAGAGATATGAAGAGAGAACCCATCGAATATTGGTTCATCTGGTCTGGCTGGATAACTGAAGTAAACCTCTCTTAGATCTATATCTCCACGAATGTCATCCAATGTCTTTCCTTTTTCGTCAGAAGCATCAATCTCTGGTTTCCTACTGATAGTCTCAAACATCTTAAATGCTGCAGCTTGACCAGCAGCGAATGCACTCAAGCACGGTGATGCTTGCCCCAGAGACCTAATTCATCCAAAATAGTTAATATATTTAAACAATAAGTGGAGAAAAAGAAAATTCAAAAGAGGAACTCATGTATATATGTATCTACATGTATGTACAAGTATTTAAAATCAAGCATAAAGAGAGAAAAAAAAAATGATAACATAGGTACTATAATAACCCACAAAAAAAAAGAAAAGAAAAAAGAAATGGAGCTTACATGGATCCAGTCAAAACAGCAACAATCACATTCAACACGTCACCCCCAGAATATCCATTATTCCTTACCATTCTTGAACCAAACCATACCGCCAAGGCATAAGTGCAGAACACAACTAGCATAACCATGCCAAAACCTGCTCCAGCAGCAGTACCTTCGTAAAGACCTGATTTGTAAGCATCCGCAAGACATTTTTTGTAATTTGTTATTGCTTGCTTTTCTCCAGTGAAGGATGCAACCTACATAGAAAGCAGATGAGAAACATCATACTCTTGGCCAAACAATCGAAAATTATTCCAATAGTTGTAAGGCCAGATTGATCTACAGTTCTGATGGAGCCTATCGTCTGTTCAACTACAATTGCTGCTTTTGCATAAGCACTTTGTCCACGGGTTGCCATCTTGGATATAATGATGGACATAGTTGCACCAGATGCCACAAGCAGAGGAATCGAGGATAACATGACAAGGGTAAGAAGCCATCCTTTGATGAATGCTATTATAAACCCTCCAATGAATGTTGAAAATAGTTGTAAAAATTTTCCAACCTGCACAAACAAGTGCACGAATATGACCTTTTAGTTACACTTAAAGAAAAAAAATTTCAAGGTTTTTATTCTCCCTGGGGTGAATTTAGGGTTTGTAATTGTGCAGCCAGCGTAGTACCTTCTCGCCCATGGCATCTTGTATGAGAACAGTGTCGCCAGACATTCTCCCAATGACCTCTCCAGTATTTGTTTCCAAATCAAAGAAAGCAACGTCTTGTCTCAAAATTGTTTTCAAATACAAACCCCTTATCCTTGCAGCTTGTCTTTCTCCTGTTACCATCCAGCAAGAGACCTCTGTGAACAAGAAATACAGCTGTATCAGTTCAAAATTCAAATGCTTGATATGTGTATGAGTTTCTCTCGGCATGCATGAAAAACTTTTGTGGTTATGGGTATGAGATGTACTTACGAAGACTTGCCGCCACTCCTGTCCCGATTGCCAAATAGACATATTTTAGAGAGACCTACAATGTACCAAGATAACTAAGTGATTATCAACAAGTTCAGGCTAACAACTTAATGAATAACCAGAGGAAGAATAATTATCAAATGAATCCCCTAAAATTTACTGACAAGAAATAAAAGGAAAAAAAGAATCCCTTAAGAATAATTGAACAAAAAACCTGAGCTAAAAAAATCGATGTGATTTTCTGGAACTCCAATATTTGACCTCATAAGAGCAGTTCAAACCGTTATTGAATGTTCAACTCGATGTCTCAACAAACATAAAGATTAAATTTTGGCTTCTGTAGCATATAACTTTACCTTGGAAACAGCACTAACTATGTCTGTATTGTTTTGATTAGATCCAAAAGAATTGATCATCTCCCCCAACAATATCGTCATAAGGGGCATCCCCAAGCCATTCCCAATGGCACCAATTGTGCCGACGAGCATCAATATAATATCAGTCTTATCTGCAAATGAAAATAGCTTGGAAAATGGAACTTTTTCAAGTTTCTCATCTCCGCTGCTCTTGTCTGAGCCTTGATGATCCCCATTCGTGCCGGTGCTTTTCTCTTCTTCTACTTGGCTTCTTGAAGTGATATCCCCATGCTCTTGAGGCATAGCCCCATCCACGCCACTTTCCTCGGCCATGTTACCAACCCCAAGAAGTCTTGAGATGCTTGACACCTGATTTGTTATACCTCAATCTGCACCTGCATAAGCACAGTCCTGTTATATTAAACTTAAAAGCCTAGCCAGCGAATTTGTGCTGGCAGTGCAGAAAGGACCAGCTAAAGATCTGTAAGCAGGCCATGACTACTTCCAAATCTGCAAGCAGGCCTCAGATTAAAAAAAAAATACAACAGGGGAATTGAGTCGGCACATCTCTTTCGTCAACTATTCATTTGACAAAGTAAACGAAACAAAAACTAAATCTTGAAAAAATTTAACACTACATACTTGTCTTGTATTCCAAGATGAAAAGTTTTATGTTAATTTTGCTGGAATGTCGATCACAAGTATACTGTTCGGGCAGGATTTCATCAGCGAATCTAAACATTTGTTTCCATAGACTACAAAATTCACTACTTTTGCAAGCGAACACCCCTTCTGGTAAGTAATTTATTTCTCTTTTTTGATTAAAAAAGAAGAAAAAATGCAACCACAAGTAAACAAAACGATCCCACAGAAGAAGAAAAAAGGGTATTTGTTCGTTTTCGTTTTACCGGAAAAACTAGGAAATTGATCTGTAAAGATGTTTCTTTAGGTATGATTGGGTCCCCAAAGAAGTAAGAAGACCGCAACTTTATTAAGTGACGGAACCAGAATCAAATCTCTGCAACTCGAGAAACCCAATACAAAACCAAAACATTTGTAGCAGTAAAGGAAAGTAGTTAAGCAGTGCAGAACAGAAGAGAACACAAATGATATGCCAAAACACAGAAACACAGAGCATGAAATGAGATACTTACCAAAAGGGTATCTTGAGCTTGAAGAAGGCGCCAGCACTCAACAGCTTTATGGGATTTGTGGGATGCTTGATTTGACTAATTTCAGATTAATAGGAGCACTGTGTGTTTTAGCTGTTTGGTATTGCTTTTTGTGCAAGCATTGTAATCATTATTATTATTATTATAATTAATATTATTCGTGACAAAAGCCGTCCCTTTCCTTCTCTTGCAGTTCCACCTTTACCTTATGGGGAGAGGGGGATAAAGTCAATGTAGCCATGGATGCCAAAAGCTGTGCATCCAAACTTTTGCTTTGTCAATGAAATCTTGGTGGCCATTTTCGAGTGCACTTATATTATGCATCTAATGAATTCTAACATCGCTTTCCAAGAAAATTAAATTTATATATACATAGATAACTTCCTGGAAGAAAGCATTTTTTATTTTTCGTTGGGGTCCAGTCTTAGGTAGGGATTTGTTGGTTGTTTGTCTTTTCTGTAATATAATATCGACAATATGGCATCATATAATTACACATACACCCTTGAGGATTTTTGTGTTTTCTCAAAACCCCTCAAGTTTTCCACATATCATAAACACCTCCTTGACGTTTTAAAATTATTTCACAAAATCCCTTATGTTAGAGTTCCGTTATGCTTTTTGCTGACATCAGCATAAAATAATTTTAAAATGGAAAAATTAACCTTACGTTGTTGCCCAGTCGTCCAATTACTGGCTTAAATTCATCTTGAATTTCTCTTCTTCCCAGAGTCACGAGCTTCTTCACTGCAATTGAGACGCCACCTTCAAAATTCGTTTTGTAGACTATACCAATTGATCCACCACCCATTAGACATTCTTTCACAAGCAATGCTTTTGTGTCGGAACCCGAGTTTTTGTCCAAGGGAGTACCACAGAGGAAGGGGTTGTTTATAAATGTGTAGGAACTGTAACCTTGCATAACTGTAGGAATGGTGCCTGAGAGCTTATTGGAGGAGATTAAAATAGGTCAATTTTGTTAGGTTTCCAAGGGAAGAAGGAATTGGCCCCAAAAGTGAATTTGTGAAAGGCCCGGATATTGTAATCTAGACTGGTTTCACATGCTACGAGGTCACTCTTACTATTTTTGAATAGAGCTCAATCCTACGAACGTGTAGGCAAAAACTGTTCATAAATCAGAGTGTTAACGAAGAGTTACGGACGTTTGAAGTTCGATATAAATAATAACATGGGGTTTCTATTTAGGAAAACCCCTACACTTTCTCGAGAAAGGGGGACCAATCAGAGAAGGAGAAAGAAAGGGCTGACAAATCGAGGAGAAAGAACCCAGTACCGGATCCACCCTCCTTCGACCTGTTTCCATCGCAACCTTGTTCTGACCTGGACTTCCACGACTGTTCCAACGGTTTTCCATCAATTTTTCTAATGAGAACCATACATCACCTGCAACCATCACCTTGCCACTCCCTCTTTAATTTCCATCCAAACCTAACGAGTTTTGACTCTCGTTTTGTGAAGAATGAAGTCGGCGGCTCCGTGGGTTATTTTGTGGCAACCTGTTTCTGAACGCACCACCACCAATCACCACCATCGTTCAACTCCTCAAAACCTCAAGATCAAAGCCCAAGCAAGATTGGGGGCATTAGAGTTCGTTTTGGCATCGAATCAAAGTATACCCATTTTAGGGTTTAGACGGATTGTGGTGTTTTTAGGCCAAATTAGACCTCAACTCTGGTATGAAAACTCATCCTTGTGTCTTGTACTGCTAGTGTGTGAAATTTGGGGACAATCGAAGATAGTCGGAAACTTAGGTTTCCGTTCTCCAAAATCGTCGTGCGTGGCGGCCCTTAGGGGGACTCTGGCAAATTGGAGTCTTGTATAGTGAGATGTCCTCCATGTCCTAGGTCCGATTCTAAGGTCCCCTTGTTGAAACACTTTACAACGGTTCTATATATTCGATTTATTGAAAATGGTAATGTTCGATTTTCGTAATTAACGTTGATCCGATCGTTGGATTGATGTGAAACTTTAATATGTTGTTGTGATTGTTATTTGAGGATCTTAGGAACTTATGGATCGAAAATTCAATGTAAGAATATTCCGGATTGAAAGAAATTTTAAATTGTTAACCTTTGTACTAGACAACGATCTGACCGTTGGATCATTACCAATTTGATATATGTTATAGTACGCATCATTTGAGGACTTCAAAAACTTACGGATTGATAATCTGACGTACCAATCTTCCGAATTAAATTTCTAAGTTTGTAAAACCAATCGTTGACTGCTACTTAAATTTGGCGATTGGCGGAGATCCAACAATTAGATCGTCACAAAATTTTAATTTGATGTTTAGAAACATATAGAGACTCTTACGAAGTTACGGATCAGAAATCCGATGGGTAAATTTTCCAGATTGGATGATTAGGATTGTTGATCGTATCGTTGACCACATCGACCGAGGGTTACTTTTGGTCAAACCGTTCCAAATTGTTCCTAACTATTGAATTAGTATTACTAGAGACCTAATAGGATTTAGTGAGCTTACTCCAGTCAATAGGCCATCTTAAGAATGTCCCCCTTAGTTTACATGCAAGTGGCACCATATCGTGATATATGTACTTATTAAACTTCTAAATGAGAAATGATATGTATGATTACTAGTATGAAAATGTAAGCCTGGAACCCTAATGGAAGCATTTAAGAGAACTTGTATGCATGTTTGACAAGATATTTAGTTGTTATAAGGAATTGATAGTGTATGTGCTTACGTTGTAAATCATAGGTGTTAAGGTAGGAAAAGTTATGTGTTGATCTGATAGTAGTTGTACAAGGATGGTCATGCTTGGTATATTTGCGATAGGGACCCTACGTATTTTATAGGTGATCATGTTTAGTATATCCGCCATAAGTGATCACTGCCTACATAATTAGATTATGCTTATGGTTTTACTTGGTATATCTGCAATGACCAATTCTAAGAGTGATCATGCTTGGTATATCTGCGATGGGTGATCACTGTTGGAACCAAATTTGCTCACCATCATGAGTGGTGATTGTGCACAAACTCGAGTAACCTGCAAAACAGTAAACCACAGTGAACAAGCCTAAAACTGGGAGATGCGTGTCAACCAAAGGTTATTCGATAGTCAAATTAACGAATTATTTTAGACTCAAGTAGTAGGCAAGAGAATTGAAATGTTTAGATTGCGTTACATGGATAAACCCTAGATGGGTGTATTTATACCGCGGGGAGAGAAACCTTTTTAAGATATAATCCTTGTTCTAATCTGAGAGAATTCTAAAGGATATCTAAAAGTAGATATTGCGTCCACTTAGAAGTTGTGATTACTTGCGACACACACCAATTCCTAGATTGTAGGAACTCCAAGCCTTATAGGATCTAATTGAGTCCAATTCCGAATCAGATCATGTAACTTGCGAAAGAAGCGTGGTGGCACTGTTACTCTATCTAATACAACTCCGCCTGGAGTTGGCGAGTCTATGGTCGAACTTCTAAGGTAACTGCATTCGGATTAGCCTTACTTCGGCCTGGAAAAATCATGGTCCCACAATTATCCTAACTATCCGTCTAAGAGGCAACCCGTTCCCCTTAATGATGGATTATTATCCAAAGGCCATGTCTTTCGGAGTAAGCTAGAATAAGTACCGTTTAGTTTTCAACTTCTTGCAAGCTAGTCTACTTCAATAAAGAAAGGTAGTTTAGTCATTCTCGGTTTCCATCATGTGTCCATCTGAATTCAATCGTCATGATGATGAATGCCTCTGTTTTGCTTGCATACTTCTTAAAGAAACAACCACGCGTCTCATTGACTAGCCTTGATTGTCACCCGCATCGATCTCTAAGCTAGGCGACCTTTCATTTTCAACGGTGAGACCTTTTCATGATTCATCTTTAAATAAGCCCCTTAGGTCGCAGTTTCCTTCATTCTTTTCTCATTTATGCCATGAAGCCTGTTTTCACCTTAACCTGCCTTTCTAATCCTAGTTTTCCTCTTGGTTTGTCGCTGAAGAAAATTCCAATCTTGAAAAGTTATGCTATGTATAGTAATTTCCATCATGTTCTTAAGAATGTCCCCTTGCTTCTTGCAACTTGTTCTATAACATTCATCCCCTTGAAGCACTCTTCATGCAGTTTTCATGGAAGGATAAGATTTACGCGGGGTGTAAGAATTTGTTGAAGGGTCATTTATCACCGTCTTTTTCCTCATCTGATGCTTACTGATGGTGATGGTAACGGCTCTTCATTTAATCATTCTCCCATGTGGCACTCATGTGGCTTGAGAGTTGAAGTCGCAACAGAGTGCCCCATCATTAACCCTTCTCATTGCTAGACACCTAGTACAAAATTTGTACCGGAGTCCATTCATTTGAGGTGATGGGATGCTTTTGTGGATTTTCTATCTCTGTTTCCTTCCATTTCCTCTACTTGTGGACGGCGATGGTGGCAGATCTCGATCAAAATACTCACCTTCAATGTAGTGTCGTGCTCGGAATGCAGTAAGGTGGGTGTATCATATCCTTAGTCTAGTAACAGAACCTTCATCAGAGCTGACAACTTTGGTCAAGTGTGTTGTGTAGTCTTTAGGAACTTTTCTCCGCTAGGGGTGAGGACATTTCTCCTCCAAACTATTGTACTAATTTGATATCCTTTGTGACTATGATGATAAACATGTGTTTGTGTAAGGATCTTTATGTCTTGTGTATCATTTTCATGAAGAATTTCTATTTTGATAAATGTTTCCAAAGTAAATGAACTTTAAAGAATAAAATAAGCAACAGAGCTGAAAGCGAATAAGTTTGTGGGTCTAGGACAGAGTTTTAAGAAACCCCCGGGGTAACATTGATTCAGAGAAACATTACCTCCTCAACTTTGCGAACTTTGCATCTATAAAAGATTCTCATCACGATAGCCAGAATACCACCTTGCTACAGTATCAGGAATTAAACATTAAACCCATAAAGAACCCTCCACTTGAGTTCATTTCAGCATTTATCAGATTTGAGACGGTTACATCTATAAACAAAACTAAGATACAACTTCTCTCAACGAAACTCTAATTGATAATGCAATCTTGGCAGCTGTGGCCATGTCACCATACCCAGGTGGGTTGCACCTCCCTTAGGACACCTCTAAATGAACCTTGACGGATCTTGGAACGCTAAAAGAAAGGTTGTGGGTTTTGGGGCCGTTATCCGTGGTAATGACGGGGTGTTCGTGGCAGCACATTGCGGAAGCTTTGAACATGTTTTCTCTCCACTCCAATTAGAGGCCATGGCGGTA